TCTTGATCGTCGTTCTTGAACTCGAGATAGTTCTTTGTAAGTTCGCGCCAAACTTCCCTTCCTCTCCGGCCCAAATTATAACAAAGGTTGAACCACACAAATTCTTGGAGATTTTCTGGACAGTCAATCGAAAAATATAAATTCAGTTTCTCCATATCCCCAGCTGCAATTGGATTCTTGTGTTGTGGTTAAGGGTTCCCGCGCTTGTAATATGATTTAAAAACGAATTTAAACAACTTGTTCGCTTGTGTGAACTCGACATCTTTCAGGATGTTTATCGACCTTGAAATAGGCTGTCCCGTAATTGTACGGTGAATAGCAGCTCGTATACCAGTCAAGGCACCCTGGGTGAGATCTGTTTTCTTGTTTGTTTTCACCTCTTCAAAACTTTCCGTTCAGTTCAGCAGGGTTCACAATGTGAAGATCACAGCTTATTTTTCGCTTCTCTAGCCACTGAGTAAACTTCTTCAAACCCCAAGAGGTCTGTTTTCCGGTGTTTTCTGGCACGGAATCAGCCTCTGTCTTTTGTAGATCTTCTTCCACTTGTTGGAAAGACTGAGAATTTAGATTTTCTTCGTTATTTTCTGTTTTTCCAGCCATGATTTGGGCATAAAAATGGCGACGTCATTTCTCTCACTAACGCCGCAAGAAAACGGCGCGAACATTGTATTGGCTTCTGGATTTGGATTGCCTGCTTACTTCGTACGATTGTTTGATTCTCACTTTTCATGTATTTTAGCTCTCTGAAATAATATTTCAGAGAGCTAAAATACATTATAGCCTGCCAAATTCTCCATTTTAGCCCACATAATGTGCCACAATGCCCGACAAAGTGATAATAATAGACCTTATTCCCAGGGTAATCTCTATTTCATAGACATGGTACCCAGTTCTTCCGCGGATAGTATTACCAAGCACTTTGCCTGGTTGCTTTCGTGGAGGATGAAAATGGGTGTAAATTCGTTTCGCGGTCTACATGAGCAAATTCAGTTCCTCGTCACAAGAGTGGAAATTTCTACTCTCTCCTGGGAAGGCAGAAGTGATCTAAAAATAACTTGAGAAGGTTAACCTTGGGAAAAACCCTATTAGGAGGATTAATTCTCTTACTCTTCATCCTCTCTTGATGGTTGTCAGTGTCCGTCATATCCACTCAGTTCTTTATCTTAAGCAGGTTCGAGAATATAGAGGGTTTGTTGGTGGTGTAGGCATTGAATGTTGTTTTTGTCGTGGTAAGTATATTCACCCCCGGTTAACGCTGATTGAACATAGAAGAGATTGTTCCACTAACTTGTAACCTTTTGTATTAGCTCTTTATAGCCAGCCTAAAGGCCGTAGCAACGCAGTTTTTCGATGGTGAAGAGCGGGGTGGCAACTTGGAAATGCAGCCAAAGGGCACATATTAAAAGAATACTTTACTTGCAAAAAATTTCGGACGGTTCAGTTATTTCAGACGTTTTATTTTCGGACACTTTTTATCTTATTTCAGACAAATTTCGGACGACAATGTCAGATACTTTGCTGAAACATAGTTTAAGTAAATTTACGGCTACAAAACGCGAATTAGACTGAAACAACATCCGTGAAAACGATTTTTGAGTGCACCCTAAGGTTTTACGGATACACCGACGAGAAAATAACACAAATTCTATCAAGGCATTAGGTATGTTAAGCGGTGTCTCAACTAAAGTTCGCTCCATAAAGCCTGGCATAAAGGAAACTAAGAGCCGTGGAACTACTTCAGAGCTTTATACTGTACTGGAAATATTTCGGACGCTTTAAAAAATTTCGGACGCTTAATTTCAGACTGTTTTGTTTTCGGACTACTTTTTTGGTCCGAAATTACAATCCTCCAAAATTTTTTGCAATTCATGTACCAGTGGGTATCTTGGTTTTCTTTAAAATAACTGTTTGTGTTAGATACTGCATTTGATATCGATACATAATAGTTTCCTATTCGTACTAGCAAGTTGGTGGATAGAGCGGTTGACAATTCGTTGAGTTCATTACAACTCGGAGTAAGTGCATCTAGCCGTTGCAAAGTGCGGGAAAATGAGTGTGAATAAGAAAACCAATCGGAACCCAAAACTCGGAAACTCGGAAACCGAGGGTTTCAAAGGGTAGGTAACACTATCCACTGGTTGAATCGCTATCCAGTGGATAGTGTTGTTTGTTTCACCAACACTTTTCCGTTGGATAGCGTTGTTATCGGTGGATAGCGTAGCCGTTATCCACTCGCTACGCTATCCACTCTGCGAAAAAAAAATGTAAATGTCGCCCGCTATCCCACTAATATGAGGTTACTTTAACTTGAGGTTAATTCTTCTTGCCTCATTACTTTACATTAAACCCAGCTATACAACAAAATATTAATTACTGAGCCGTTGACAAACAGTTGGTTTCGTTCTTCCGAGAATATCCAGATTCGAAGACCATCCCGCTAGTCTCTCGCGGCCCTGCGAGACCTTCCTAACTTTTTGTTTGTGCTTATTCACAGCAAGGAAAGGATGTTGCTCCCAAGAAAGACCCAGTTTCCACACTACAATCTCTCCTAGGACCCCTCCCTGAACTTAACGTCTCTGGTCACTTATTGGGTGTTCAGTTGATGAGCGTCAATGCGTACCTGCACACGTCAATACTCTATGGTCAATGGGAGGGGTGGCAAGGGAAACCAGTGGATGAACCACCTCTGTTCTACAATGGCCTGACTGAGCCAGCAGCGGACCTGCTGTCCAGCATATCAGATGAGATTGTGGAAATTGCCAAGCTCATTGAGTTGAATACTGAAGCTAATATGTCTCATGTAAGAGTTTTAAATTGATAAAAAGTAACTAATCTTTATTTTTTTTCTCATCGTCAGGATTTTGTACTACAAGCACAGTAAGCGAGATAAGAAGTTGAACAATAGTGCTGGGAAGGGAGGAAAAACAATTGAATTCATCTTCGACTATAGGGCGGGATCAGCTGTCACCGACAGACAGGCAGGGGAAAGGCAAACATCCTGACTGATAGGACAGACAGACAGACACACGGAGAGGAAGGTTTATCTAACTATCTACTTCCGACAAACCGACTAACGTTCATACTCATACTGTAGAGTAGTTTGTGTGTTTACTGAGCTCTCAACCAGACGGTTCGAGATCAGCACACTGTATTTGTGGGTAGAGGTGCATAAGTCTGCCCTTGGTCCGTGACGTTGTAATGACTAGTTTTGTTTCATCACTGAACAAAGTATGGTGAGTGACGTCTGTACAAGCCTTGTTTAGAGGTTGCTTCAGCGATTTGCACGTTTTGTCTTTAAGCCACGTGACGTCAGACTCGAGAAAAAACAGTTTGTTAAATTGGAGTGACAGGCCTACACGGACTACTACGGTTCGTGAAATTTCTACATTTGCCGTTCTCTTATAAATTTCAGCCTCTCCGCCTTTTATTTTGTTCCTCACTTGTTTCTGAATGGACTTAATGTTTTTGTGTATTTAGCTTGATGGTATGTGTTCTCGTTTTTCTTGACATGAACTCTTTTCTTCAGGTTGTACACATTCATCTATGGCTTGTGCGACGTTATTCTCATGACATCTCAAATAAGTCGACCCTTTACAAGGCAATACAGACCAATGCTGCTTATCAAGG